ACACAGAAATCCGTCTTTACGGTGCCAGAAAACGGAGCACAACATACCCTGTTTCAGCTAAGCCGATGACATCCCTTCCAGAGAGTGCGTGTGGAAGAGCCGCTATTTGAATTTTTGTCGGAGTTTTCCAATCCAGTCGTTCGCATGCCTCACAAAGTGACTCACAGACACCCTTAAAAAATTATATAGCCATGAAAAACTAGTTTGGTGAGGTTTACTTGAACAGTTTACAAAAGGAACCGATGAGATAATTTTGGGGAGTTGTCTATACAAAATCTAATATGTAGAAATCTACACAACATTGGTGCTGTAGCGGCAAGTATTCCGTTTACCACTCTTGCGGCATGAGGTCTAACCACGGCTTGGCTTCCGCCTAGGCCAAGCAAGCCTTCTATCCTCCGAGTGGCGACAGATTCGTCTAGGGGGAAAAGGAGGCTGACTTGCGCAATGGCTGACCCACGCAAGGCATTGTATAGGTGACATCATAATCAATAAGTCACTAAGATTTTGAATGGAAGCGGAGTGAGTGAGTGCGCATCCTGAAAAGGGATGGATTATCGGTGGACTTTATCCCTCTACCCTATGCTACTATCCCACAAAAGACGCGAGGCCGTTTCTGGTACGACACGCCTCTCTGTGCACAATGAAAAGCTCAATAAAAATAATAAGTCGCGCTAAACATTGAGAAGTACGCCATGGAAGACTGAAGTAAGGCAATATGGGATCTATTCACTGAAGGTAGAGCAAGAAAACCTCTGAAGGTGTAGGGGCGATTCGGCTGAAGTTCGATGTCGACATTTTCGTCTGTAACTCAGCCCCCCCCCCTGCTACGAAGTTTATGAACACCGTCTCAGGGCACTTGTCAACCTTGGAGCCTCTCTTCTCTTTCCTTTTTTCTTCCTCCTTCCTTCTTTTCCTTCCTTCCTTCTCTGTTCCCTCCTCCTTTACCTTCTCCCTTCAACTACTGGGCTAGTAGATGCCACGAAAGAGTACCCCTGGACCATCGCAGTGAGAGACATGGTTGACAAGTGCGAAAAAGGCATCTCCTCTCCTCCCTCAATAGCGCACAGGTTCCTTCTGCTCCAACAGCACAGTTTGAGGAAGTTAACGGGAATGAACCCACTACTCTACTTCTACTGAACCCATGAGTCATGATCGGCCCAAATTATGTGCTGTCCAATTACGCTTTCCCACTGCCACAGAATTTTGAAAGTAGTTTTCTTCTGAAAAATCACTGTCAACAGATCGCGTTCGAACTTGTAATCCAATTTTGGTAGCAGGATCGATATAACAATGATGCTGATAGTGAAGTAGTGATACGATCCAAAATTCCAATAAACGGCACAAACCAATTCTTTGAACGTCTTTGGTTCCTGCTCATTGCGTTGGTCATCCTCGTTTGCGTCAGAAGAACCACCTTAATTATCAGTGAATCGACGATATGTTATCACAAAGCAAGAAGACGTACCATCATGGTGCTCTTCAGTCTTTGAATGCTTGACAGATCTTTGTAGCGCCTCCTCAACCTCTTCACCTTCCGAACTAGATGAGTCTGACATCTGAATCACACTGAAAACGTGGTCTGTCCTCCATCAACATGTGATGAAAAGCAAGAAACAAACGAATTCACGAACATAATTGAAGATGTTCACAGGGCGACTCTGGTCGTCAACAATCTCCTGCCTCAGCCTGGGGAAAGGGCGGGTTCACCTCGGCGAGAGCAACAAAGTAGACGACCAAAACGGCCGTGTCCTATCCTCATAGTAGTTTCTATCGCTAGCCCAGGATAGGTCCACAGTTCAATACATAGCGCTAATATTCGCCCATAGCACTGGGCGGTGAAAAGGAGCTGTGGCCTGGGTGACTATTCTTGAAGATATTATGTATGGCGTGATTTCCTCGAGACTGACGTTTCTTGAGGTGTCATGCGACGTCGTGACATGTACTGACATCTAGCGTATCGCACTGCGGACCTATGGTCTGGTTCGCTGTGGATGATGGGGCGTCTGCGTTTGGCACGTCGCCAAATTCATCCTCTATCAGTTCGTTAAGCGGGTAAATGACAACAAATAGTGAAAAACGACAGACATGAACGACACGATGCAATGCTGTCGTTTGCCGAAAGAAAAAAACGGGTTGGCGCCTCGCCAGACGCGGAACCCCCATCGTGCGCACTGAGCCAGGCTATATATAGGGCCAGCATTTTCCTCTCCGTAAAATTGTTGTGAATTATATGGAAGTCAATTCAACAGTGCTCAAAAAATTTTCTGTTCAAAAACATGCATCAAGGAGGTGAAGAACACAGGAAGCAATTCAGCAGGATAAATGCTGAACACGGTGTATCCCTTTTACGGAAATTTAGGTAAGCACGTCTCAAACGAATAACAACAGAAAGAACAAACAAGAGAAATAGTAAAGAAAGGGGAAGGAAGTATACGTCACATAAAGCAGCGTGTGAGGCAAAGAAAAATAGGAAGAAAACTAGGTAAACAAAAACTGGTTATGCCATACTTGAATTGTTTCATTGGCCTTGTACATAGCTACCAATCTCTTCTGCACTACTAAAAACATAAAAGGAAACTGCACAACATCCACTCACGTCAGGACGTTATGTATAAAAAACCGATGTTAATAAAGAGACACGAAGGGCGCCGTGTAATCGCACACAACTGGTGATTACCGTAGTCCCACGCCTGTTTTTATTCGCCATAGCGCAGAACTTGGAAGCGCAAAACTGAGGTACTCTCATGTTAACCGGTCATCGCGGTCAAGAAATCATTTCATACTTCTTCTGCTTGTACTACTGTCGGCACGGCTTTCCACATCACTTATCGTGGAACCCGCAAAGTTTTTTCTGTTCTCAATAGCTACGCATTAATCAAAGGCATATGTTTTTGCAGGTTTCTCGGCCAAGGTGTTTAACTGACACCGTGGGGCATCCTAATTGTTTCTATGGTATATAAAGTTGAAGGCAACGGATGAAGTGTATGTGTCCTCGTGGACCACTTGTTTTTAGGTCTTGGGCATCTGTACGTATCTTTACGCTGTGTGCTTGGTTTGAAAAGCTTCACACGAATAAATTAAAGAAGTCAATCGATTTTCAAAGCACTATCTATATATTGTATCAGCGGCGTCATGGGAACAGGCTCGCGGCGGCATCTTCAAATGCAGGTCTCGATGTCTTCCACGGTCTTCAGTTTGAATGTTGTTGTTCCTAAAGGCAACGAAGCGGGCTCTAAGTCATGTCAAAGCGTCCTTTTCACATAGTGATCCCTTTCCTTAGTAAAAAAGGATCACTAACACAGCACCCATAAAGGATCCTGCTTTTTCTTGTCATTGTATCCCTAACTGCCCGAGCACACCGCTCAGCCCAAAAGCGACTGGAGTTCACCATATGCGCTGGAGTCGAAAGAGCATGTGGAACCGTCGCTGGTGGCGCATGCGTCACCTGCGTTCATACTTTGCGACAGCGTCCACCAGCGTTTCGAGCGAGCGCCAGCGGCTAGCGGCTAGGCGAAGTATATACAGGGGGGGGGGAGGCAAAAAAAGTCACTTCGACCGAGTCACATATCAGCAAAGTTTTTGCAGCCCAGAGAGAAGATGTGGATACGAGTACCAGGGCGGAAGATACCCAAGATGTTCCTCGATAAGCAGGAGCTGGCCCTCGCCCATCACCTTCATGTACACCAAAATATGAAGTCATCTCCAGTCGCAGCCTGACTGGAGAAGACCTTTGGAATTCATGTCACCTCCAAACAGCTGCGAAAACCTTCACCGCAGTCGCAAGGGCGTAGGCGCGGGTTGATGGTATGGACCGGACGTACCTGGAATGGAAAGACCAATATTTTCTTCGTGGACCCCGGACTGAAGGTGAGCGCTGGCGGTTACATCGAGCAACACATGTCGCCGCCACCCTTCTTGGAAACTTTGTACTGCTACAGCATTGGGTGCCACCACGTGGAATCGAAGGGCGTTGGAGAAACTCTCGCCTACTTGGAATGGAAGGGGGCTGAGTACCTAAAGAAGATGGAATATCCAAGTAGGTCACCTGACCTGAATCCCCTCAATTACCCGGTTCGGAGTTCAATAGGGTGGTCTACGGTGGCGGAGAAATCGACTATCTCGCTGATCTCAGGCACCACATCGCGGTCGCGTGCCAGAATCTCTCGATGGCGCTCGTCCAGAAGGCTGTGGCGGAGTTTTATAATAGTATTTAATATGCTCTTTAATATGGTGGTAGAAATGTCCGATTAGAATTTATAAAATTAGAAAAAAATTAGAATTTATAAAGTGTAGTTTATAGCGCCACGAAAAAGTCAATGAAGAAAAGTGACTTTTTGGCTCCCTCCCCCTGTAGATGTCGATCTAGCGAACGCTCGCTTCTACCATCGTCCACCACCGTCCAGGAGTCAAGAGTATGGGGAGGTAGGAAGGTAGTAGACAGCTGGATTAGACGTCGTGAAATTGCGGCGTGTGCAGACGCACCGTACAAGTGCTAAGGCATACAATTATGCAATCTTTATGTACGGGGTAGTGGTATTGTACGGTACCTCTCACCACATCTCACGACGCCGAATCCAGCTGTTTGCTACTCTCCTACTTCTCCATACTCTCCACTCCTGGACGCTGGTGGGCGCTGCAGTTCGCTCGAAACGGTGGATGCTAGAGATTGCTGGTGGACGCTCATAAAGTATGAACGCAGCCTTAGATGGTTCTGAACTTAACGGATGTGATGTTCGTATTCAGGGAGTCAAATTGTCCCTGAGTTCTCGAGGTATTCTGCCACCGGCGCCTGTGGCGCAGGCGCCAAGCACTTCGGGCTAAACGGATGTGACTGTCGTGTTCAAGTGGTCAAAATACCCCTGTAGACCAATTTTCGGACGAATCGAAGATGTGACCTTAACTCCGAAAACTGGGCAGTAAAGGGCAAATAGTGCCAAGAACTGCACAGTGATAAGGGTTGAATACGCAACTATCTCCTCTACTCTGCAAATCTGCAGACTACATATTCAATCGTTTTCGTTAACTCTGCAATTCCTCATTTCTTCATTTCGTAATTCTTCAGTGATAAGTGACGTGTCCTGATCCTGAAGTCCTGATCAAAGCGTGGCTTAAGAGGCGGGAGAGGGGAAGCCAGAGCCAGTGCTTCGAATCGCGACGAAGGCTGCACGCAAGTAGAGGGGATGGGTAAGTGCAGGTGAGCAAGTACTACTGAGCAAAGCTGTGGCAAAACTAGTGCGTAAAGCCGCTGTGTCTGGAAATTGATGTGGTAGAAATGAAACTACAACATAGCCAGAAACTGAAGTTTGTCTGAGTCTTCTTCTCCCTAGCGTTAGTCCCGCGCCGTCGCAGGGTCCGCTGTTCTTGTTAGACGTCGCCACTTGTTCCGATCCACTGCATCTTCTGCCGTGGCTTTCACTTCAGTGAGGTCCTTCTTGATGACGTCCCTCCATCTTTTCTTTGGGGCTCCTCGTGGTCGCTTGCCCTCTACTTCGAATTCCAATGCCTTCCTTATTGGGTGGTCTTCAGGCCTCCTCAGCACGTGCCCATACCATCGCAGTCGCTGCTCTCGTGCCTTCAGCTGGATCGGAGCCGTCTGTGTGACCGCCCTGACGTCCTCGTTTCTGACTCTGTCGAGTCGTGTCCAGCCGCAGGCCCATCTCAGCATCCTCATTTCAGCTGAGTGGAGCTTTCATGGTTCTTGCAGATGGGCCAGCACTCACTGCCGTAGAGCATTGTAGGCCTTACCACCGCCCGGTACACTTCCTTGAGCGTTCTCGAGCGCCGGTCGCACAGGATGCCAGTGGACTCCCTCCATTTCATCCAGGCTGCGTTGATTCGGGTCTTCACCGCCTGGTCCACGCTGCCATCAGCTGCTAGGTCGCTCCCCAGGTACTGGAAGCCCTCGACCCTTTCGATGCTCTCGCCATGGCAGTCTAAGATGGGTTCGGTACACTCTTTAGACAAGTCCTAGTCGCGCGCTTTTTGATAGTCTTACACATAATTTCTGAATTGCACATGAAAAATTTGCTTACACAAATCAAGAACGCCATGAAATGCTATCCCAAAATAAAGTTTGTTTGATTCGCTAGCGGGAGAGAATTTTGAAGATTATTGCGATGCGGCATGCCACTGCCGTTCTGATATTGGACCCGGTTTTCAAAGTTTTTAATGCTTTGCGGTCCATGGAAAGGAAGATCACGCCTGACTAATGTTCGCTCCCTCTTCCATTTCTTTTTTACAACTCTCGAGAAACCTATATTGTTCCCAAAGCATTAGAAACTTTGAAAACCGGGTCCAATATCAGAGTGGCAGCGGCATGCCGCATCGCAATAATCTTCAAAATTTTGTCCCGGTAACGAATTTAATCAACCAGCTTTATTTTTTAGAATAGCATTTGAAGTGTACTTGATTTGAGCAAAAAAAGATTTCGTGTGCAGTTTACAAATTGTATGTAAAACTAGCAAAAAGCGCGCGACTTGGGCTTGTTCCAAGTTTTTTTTTTCCGCGACTGTATGTAGATAGGAATGGTGGTCCGATCCTTTTGAACATCTGGACT